GTGAGATGACTGATTTCACTGGAGTGGTATGAGACTTACGTAAGATGTCAATATCTCCTCGTGAAACCCTGTTCTAGAATTCGAGGCTGCCGTTCTAGCACTGCTACAGATGTCCTTGGTTTTGTCTTAATATTGGTGGAGAATGGAATGGTAGACCGCCTCTGTGGTCTAGTGGTCAGAGGTCCCAGGTTCGATTCCCGGCCCTATCAGATATGTCTGAGAAGTAGTGGGTCTGGAACGGGGTCCACTCAGCCTCATGAGGATAATTGAGGAGCTATTTCAAGGAAATAGCAGCTCCGGTCTAGAAACCCGAAATTAACGGCCGTGGGGATTGGTAGCGCTGATCACGCGACACCCTCTATCCGCTAAAGTTGGCACTAACTTCGCCGACAAGCGGCTGTCGCTCGGTCGGTATAGTTCGCTTTCTGGCTAAAACCACGGAGTTTGTTTTGTATACGATAGAAAAAACACTCTATCTCCATTATAAAGATGACTCATTCAGTGGCGTTTGGGGAAGCAGCAGTGGCGTATTCGAAGAATCTTGTGAACTTACATTTTGCCGGTAAGATACAGAGCTTTTTAATGCTAGAGTAGGTAGTGAAAATGACCACTGTAGTATGTAAGGTTCGGTTTCTAAAACAGCCGTGACCCCCTTGTCCCCAATTAATGACATTGTACACGCCCGGGGCAGGGTTGGGTGTAGTGGGGGACAGTCCCGCATCGCAACGCCCATACCTGGATACACTCCTGAGCTTCAGTGTCTGCCTCCGTCCGGTTGCGCGTCACCTCGGCTACCTCAAACGACCTTTCCTTCCGAATGAATGAGAGTCCCAGATGAAAAGTAAAGGTGTTCCTGTGCTTAACTAATTCAACACTGCCCCATGAAGACGTACGGGAGAGTGAATGTATAGGTTCACATTTTCTTGGCCTCGACACCAGCTGGAGGTGAGTGATCAGCTTCACGCCCCTGCCGCTTTACCGCCGGGGAGAGAGCGCCTGGTATCCATTGGATATGAGGCTGGGTGGGCCCCAGAGCCGGTCTGGATGATATGGAGAAGAGAAAATTTTTGACCCTACAAAGACTCGAACTCTGACCCCTCGGTCGACCGGCCCATTTCCAGTTGCTATATCGACTACACTATCCCAGCTGCTAGAGAAAGGTCACTTGGAAGACCAGGTGGTAGATGAAGGGCGATATTTGCTTGCAAATTAATGTCACTGTAATGATATGTGCTGATATGAATTGAACTGCACTGACTTACGATAATATCCATTAGTGAGGTTTTTTTGTAGCTGTGATGAACCAAGCTGTTAGTAACTTTCTATTTAATATCCCCAAAACGATTAATCTGTTCCGTCAAAAGAGCGATATATATGTTCTTGAGGAACTGCACAGTCAGTTGTGACAACATAAATGGTGTTTGCATAATAATCGAAGAATTGCTCGCGTAATTCTGTAATCATGGCCGCCTGAAGAAAGTTGTAGTTAGCAAATTTATATTGAGTTGCTGACGTCAGGGACTTAGCCAAGGTCGTTTTTTTGGGATCATAGTCCTTTGCAAGGCAAGCGTATAATTAGTATTTAACACGTGAACTTAGTATTACTCTTAAACAACTGCCATGTTAATTTGTTTTCGTTAATACATGTTTAGGAATTCTGGGGAAGGTAACATTTTACGCATTCCAAGTACTGTGGTCTGATGTATTACCACTCAAACCGAAGCATTTCACCAATGAATAATAAATATAATGCAACATATTGGGCCGTTTCTAGGAGACGAATACGTAAACATGTTCCAACCAACGAGCATACAACAGTATAGGCGTCTGTTGCTAAGCAATGTCTGAGTGGACACGCCTGAGAACAATACACGATATCATGTAAGATTTGAGGCTTTCACGGCGGTGACTATGAAGAAAGCAGTCTTCTGCTTTTACCGTTCTCACGGTCTTGTCGCTTGCAGATTTCTTATACTTTTTCTTCTACCCTGAAGATGGAGGCGATACGTTCCTCCGAAACGTCGGTTAACACCACATATACACGGTGCCAAATCCCAGAAGACTGCTTTCTTCTCAATACACGATATCCATTGCTAAGCAGCGATGTTTTTTCTGTTGGTGGTCCGTGCCGAGCCTATATAAAAAGCAGTGAACACTGTTCATTCGTAGGAGGCGACGAAAAGGGAAGTCTCAAGTCTGAGAGTAAAATATGGTCTCGAATACCAAGGGTCTCGGACCCGAGAAAGACTGCGCATGCAAGGGCCAGCAGCATATACAAAAGACAGACCCGTCCTCTCGTCAGAGATGGCGCCCCACAGAAACAAGACCGTAACTGTCAAACAGTAATAAATATCTGGTCATGAGCTGCAGATGGGGCTCAACACCAAGACTTACTGACTTACTGACTGACTGACTGACTGACTGACTGACCATCGGTCGCAATGTGACTTTGACTTTGACTTGTTCAGGAAGGTCAGGAAGACGTCTTTCAAGGCAGTTCAATGGTTAATGTTTTAGTGTAATAATATAATGTAGTTACGACGTGGAGATTATCGAATAAATCGAGTTATCAAATCCGGAATCGATTATTTACTGTCGCGTTACCAAGATACACGTTACAATATGAAGAATAAACATAAATCTACTATAAATAAAGATCAACATTGGTGACGCATGCAAATTCACAAGAATTTACTTGAACGTCAATCCGTGAAGACGACAACAACCAAAGCGACAGCAACATTAATGTCAATAAGATCTAAAAGTTTGTAACAATGGTGCGTTAATGCAAATATTATATTTCTGGACGTTATTCATCATCCGGTTTTTGTTGTAAAAGCCGTTTTGCTTTATTTAAAACACAACTTTTCGGAGACAAACAGGACGGATTTTAAATAAAAACAGGACGATGAACAATATCCAGAAATATAATATTTGAACATTGATGTCAATAATTAAGTTTTTACTATTCTTATTTATGTGTTAACAGCCCAAAGGCCAATTACAAATTGAGCACGAGTAAAATAATAATAATAATAATAATATAATAATTCATTTCAATTCTTTATTATTTATATGCCGAGCCAACAGCCACAAGGCCAATTACAGACGCAGCACAGTGTAGATACTGTTAATTACATTACGGACAAACACAATAAAAAGTCAAAGACAAATTACAGGCAATCACTGGAGGAAAAACACATTAATGCAGAGAAGGAAATAAACAGACGAATTAATAATAAAAATTATTTCATTAAAACAAATCTATGTTTCTATTGAGAATTGAGAAATGTGAAGTATATATATTTAGAAATAGTAATAATTCAATTCAGTTCGTGTTTATTTATGTGCAAACTTAACAGCACAGAGGCCAATAACAAAGTTGGCACGAGTACACAGAAATACAGATATAACTAAAAGAATTTAACTGAATTATTATTATATTATTATCATTTTACTGGTGCTCAATTTGTAATTGGCCTTTGGGCTGTTAACACATAAATAAGAATAGGAAGAACTTAATTATTGACATCAATGTTCAATACAAATAAGACAGTCTATATAATGGCATTAAATTAATAATAATTCCAAGAAAAATTAAAGTTAGCGTTAACCGGTGAGAAAATAAAATAAGTACATTTCGAATGGTTATTCCATTATGTGGTAAGAAAGGACAATACACATACATACATAATAATACATAATAATACATAATAATAACCCAATTAATTCTTATTCATGTTCAATTCAATTCATGTTTATTTACGTGCAAACTTAACAGCACAGAGGCCAATTACAAAGCTAGCACGAATAGAGAAATACACAAAAATAATTAAAAAAACAAAATACAAAAATCATAGTCATAACAACGAAATTAATAAAATTAATGATAATAATAATAATAGTTAAATTGGTTCAGTATAAGATATGTTTCATCAACAGAGTTTTTGGTCCAAAGACGTCCACGTCCCTACAAACAACATTAGCAGCAGAAGCGCATCTAGCAGAGGGGCAATTTTTACTAACAGAACAGACACTGAACAAAGTAATAGTAATAATAATAATAGGAATGAAGTAGGGCTTCGCCATTCTGCTTCTACTCCATTCAGCCTCATAATTATTTTATTGTAACATAAATAGAAAGATAAGATTAATAGCCAGAATATCGTGTATTATCTCAAAGCACCTTACATAGTGCCCATTGTTTTATTGTTTTATGAAAACTTTTACATTTTACAAATATTCTTTAAAGGCCTTAAGACTTGTCTTGCCAGCGTCGTAATGCCCCAAATTTGAAGAAACTTCTGAACACTACTGTACAGCTTCGTAGCCTCACGTTTTACTTGGCATCCAAATGAGATCTATAGACTGACTGGTATGCCATGTTGGTTGCCGAGGAGGCACGGGGTTGCCAGTCTTCCTAGAAGATGTCTCGCTCTCTTTAGATTGTTTCTGGTAATAATGAGAAGTTGGCTTGAATATTGAGTGGTACTCATTCGGATTGTGTCTATGTACGTCCCATTGGATAGAAGATAACTTCTGTCACACCGATGTGTGGCGTGAAGCAACGTTACTATGAGGCAGGGGCCCAAAAGTTCAAGTAATAAATTGCGAAACGTTTTGATCACAGTAAAAAACGATGGAAGTTAGCTTTCATGAGCAAAAATTGGGCCAAGATGTATCGCTTTTTATCTTTGTGAGACATTTCAGGACGTAAGAACGGAAAGATCAGGTGCCTCTTTGACTACACAGTGTTGTATCTTAGGATAATATTAATAATACTACAATAATACTATTTTAGTGTTGTGAATAATGATTTTAGTTTAACGGTGTTGAAAAAATAGTTTTCTTTTTCCAAATGTGTTTTTAATTGATAAGTTATTAAGAATTTTCCTTATTGACAAGAGTTAGTTTAATGATTGTGTTTTAAGAAAGTGTTTTTGAACACTGAGTCTGAGTACAGTCGTACTGAATCTCTTGAAATGTGTCTCATGTTGCAGCAGTTCGCTGCCAAACGCGGGGACCAGGAGTCGCTACTCGAGAACATGAATTCTAAATATTATTACTACACACGCACCAAAGGTCTCTTCAGAATCTGCTATCCCAAGGAGCGTCCACCAACCGGTAAGCCCATGACTAACCAGGAAGTACTAATTTCGGTTGAAAATACAGTTAACAAGCTGAGATATTCATCGGATATCTTCAGTGTGTATGGTTTCAGGAATTTTCGCTGCAAGATGACAGTGCTTAAGATATTACCAATATCTATGTTCTTTTAATCAAAGTAGGGCAGTGTTTGTTGTTCCCATGGAAGCAAAATGTAAAAATAATTTGTTAATTATAACCAGACGATGGCAGTAATAAACGGCAGTGCTTCGGTCGGTAATACAGAATTTTCATCTGATATTATAATGATTCGATGTTTTGCGAAGCCGCCAGTAGCTAGACTCCATTCATTCATTCATTCATTCATTTATTCCTTCATTATTAATTTGTTCCCTCTAGAGTATAGATCCTCAGTGAGACGCTTCGTCTCACTTCACTTTCGTAATCTTACAGTCAGTAGGACTCCTTAGACGGGGGATAAGCCCGTCGCAAGGCCGAGTAGCTAGACTAATAACGTCGAATTTTTTAATGACTGATGAGTTAATAAGGGTTTGGAAGGAGCAGGCCTTGGTTTAATCGAAGTACTATACCGACATTAGCTTGAAGGAGTTGAAGAAAATCACGGTAAACCTCAGGCATGTTTGCAATTTCCCCTGTAGAGATTCGAACCGAGCATCTCTCGTATACATTTCTAGATATTTATCACTAGATTAGTCTCGTCGAGATCATATTTTCGAATTTTCACAAAAAGGGCACATCTTCTCTTCTGTCAAGCTGTCTTTTCAGATTAGTTCAAGAACATGTCAGTCTATTCAGTGAAATTTTGATTTCACTGTTTACCTTAAGTCTGAACTGTGTAAAGTGGGTAAGTAAGGGAAGTCTGTGCAATCTGTTGGTAAAGATGAGAACTGTCGCGAACTGTCAAATATTCCCTAGAGTTTTCACTGATAATTTAAAAATACTTCAATATATCTCCAATATTGTAATAAACCTTCTTTTTAAAAAGTCACGCAAAATGAATTTCAACACGCAAACACAGAATTAGAGCCTGTGGGCTGCTGGGTACAAATAACGGTAACACAGAAGGAGTAAAATGAAATTTTGTCATGAAGCAATTTCAGTGTAAAAATATATCTCTTCCAAATCGCAAATACAGGTAAAAAAAAAAGATAAAGCTACCCCTGTAATAGGCCCTGAAGAACTATAAGGTTGTGAGACGTCGAGGTTCGATTCCCGATGAGATAATTAGATTTTTCAATTGACCTAATCTTTGTAGCCGCACTGTGGCCCTGGGTTCGACACAGCCTCTAACAAAAATGAGTATCAGGAATCCACCTGGGGGTAAAGGGCGGCCGGCGCTTAAACCTGACAACCTAACCGCCAATTGTGAACCGATTATCTAGAAAATGTGGGAGCCTCGACGTCTCACAACCCTGTGGGCCTCCACGATCTGTTACAGGGATAGTTTTACCTTTATCTTTTATACTTCTAAACGGATTTTGTGACGAAAAACACAGATGATTTTTAAGCATCTGTTCCGCAGTAAAGCTAAAGAGAAACACAACACTGTCTACGTGTTCCGGAAAATAATTAGTAAATCGNACCAGTATACGTAAAATTGTCTCAGGATTCTGCATACGATCGGTAAGCAAGAAACAGATATTGTTTGGGTGATAATGTTTAAATAAACACACTGATTGGAAGACGTATAAAGGCGCTTCCACATTACTCGTGCTCGTGCTCGCGCTCGTCAGGCTTGTGCTCGTAAATCTTTGTCCACACTACTTCAGTTGCTCGTCAGGCTTCGGCGCGTGAGGATCCGTATATTTACTCGTAGTGTGTATAGGCTGTAAAAAAAAGTAAAGCTATCCCTGTAACAGGCCGTGAAGGCCCATAGGGATGTGAGACGTTGAGAATCCCACATTATCTAGAAAATCGGCTCAAAGATGGCGGTAAGGATGTCAGCCTTACGCGCCGGCCGCGCTTTACCCCCCAGGAAAATTATTTGTTAAATTCCTGGTACTCATTTCTGTTAGAGGATGAGTGAAGCCCAGGGCCCCAGTGCGGCTAGAAGGATTAGGTCAATTGAAAAAAATCCAATGACCTCATCGGGACTTGAACCCGCAACCTTCCGGCTTGTAGCATTGTAGTCATATATTAATTTATTGGCTATATTTTTTAAATTAAAAATTTGCTTGTCTCGTGACTTGTCATATCGTCCACATTACTCGCGAGCATATCGAGTCACACGAGCACGAGTAATGTGGTCGCGCCTTAAGAGGCACAAACGCTCGGGGTCAGTAGAATGCAATGTATGGTGCGCGGGTTGCTTAGGCCCGTTGTTCTGTAGAAGCAGTTACAGTCTTCCGGAAGTTCGCCATGTGTTGGCAGTGCAACGACCGGGCTACCGTACGGAACAAGCGACAGCAGTATCGTCATGAAAATTAAAATAGCGCCTAACGTAACGATGTTTCTACCATGCAGATAAGAATGCAAGTGTTATATTTGGAAAGGTGACGTCACTCAATATCGGACACAAAGTACAATAGCATGGACAATTGTGGGGAACGAAACCGCTGTTGTGCTCGCACACAACTCCAGCTGCTTCCTGGTTGTGTGCGAGATTTAGGCAATTCGTGGCCGTGACCATGAAGTCCAATATATTCTCGAATGTGACACCGTTTAATCTGGTAGATAGATACCAACGTTTCGAAGGAATCTGCTGCCTTGAAGCTATCTCAGTCCTCTGCCCTGAAAATTGAGGCGGCAGATTTCTCCGAAACGTTGGTACCTATCTACCAGAATACATGACGTCACAACTAAGAATATGATAATCTTCGTGACTGTAGTTCTGTATGATTATCTCCAGAATGGAAATTGTTTTCTTGACAAAAAACAAGAGTTTCAGAGCTCCTTGCTGCTTACCTGTTTGCTAGCCCGGATTGTTCTTCCACCCTGAAGATGGAGGAATTACGTTCCTCCGAATCGTCGTTAACCTCTACCAAATTACGAAGCATCACTTCATCATAGTACCCTTCAACAGGGTTATGACTTTACATGACCTTATGTTAAACAAGACTGCGTTCATGCTACCAGAATTTGCGATATGTCGATAAGCTAAGTTGATATTAATATCGAATTCTGGAATATGTAGAATTGTAGTGGAGTATTATATTTGCGGTAATGTTAGATCAGGAGTATTAGAATGGTGTCTTAGTTATGTTCTCCTCAGACACTTCAAACTGTTAAACGCCTGAAGAAAGCAGTCTTCTGGGATTTGGCACCGTGTATATGTGGTGTTAACCGACGTTTCGGAGGAACGTATCGCCCCCATCTTCAGGGTAGAAGAAAAAGTATAAGAAATCTGCAAGCGACAACACCGTGAGAAACGGTAAAGCAGATGGGGGCGATACGTTCCTCCGAAACGTCGGTTAACACCACATATACACGGTGCCAAATCCCAGAAGACTGCTTTCTTCATAGTCACCGCCGTGAAAGCCTCAAATCTTACATGTTAAACGCCTATTTTACATTCTTCCCCATAAATGTGAAGTTGTCCCTGGCAAAACAAAAAGGAAAGTTATCCCTATAACAGGCCGTGGAGGCCCACAGGTTTGTGAGACGTCATTTTCTGTACACAGTCGGCTCACATATGGAGGTCGACAACAAACAAAACAAACTCCGTGGTTTTAGTCCTCTAGCGAAGTATCCCGACCGAGAGACCGCCGCTTGTCGGCGAATTTAATACCAATATCAGCGGATAGAGGGTGTCGCGTGGTCAGCGCAACGAATCCCCACGGCCGTTAATTTCGGTTTTCTAGAGCAGAGCCGCTATTTCCTTGAAAGAGCTCCTCAGTTATCATCACGAGGAGGTCAGGTTGTATATGGTATAAAAATATTTAATTAATAGTATTGTATTAAATCTGAAATGCAAAAGAGAAAAGAAAAAAAATGAAATCAGTCATTTATTTCACAGAGAGAAAACAAACCAGCAAATTATTTTAAAGCGATGTTTTGTAAAACGTCATAAATGGTACACGTGCCGACATTGGGAACGATGTGTATCTCTGTAATTAAATCAAACATAAATCGAAATGAAATACATATGTCTGTTTGTGCGAAATAGAACACGTACCGTGAAGGCGCAGGGGGAGCGGAGGAAAATTTCCTCAGATTCTTGACCTCATCTCTAGATGGATGCTAGTAGTCCCCTTACACGATTTTACCTGTTTCCTTCCGGATGGAGCCGCTAGTACACAAATGTGTTATTTTTATTATTAATATTTAAACTGCAAATGGGGGTTTGCCCGGTTGCACTGCTACTACAATAAAGCACAAACCACAAATAACACATCACACAAAATGATACAGCACGCTCAAACAAAACACAGCACACAAAAGTAATTAAGACACATAAGATGAATAATCTTAACAAGTTTTGGTGTGTTATAGTTGACAAATACGCACTTTTTAAATACTTTTATAAAGACATATAAGGCAAGTAATGCAATAGATAGGCGTAATTAGGGCACCTGATGATGGCACTGTGTTGCCGAAGCGTGTCGTGAAGTGTCAGGTGAAGTTGAATGCACTGCGGGACGGCAACTGTATACATATCATGGACACAAAAGTAAAACAATAAAGGACACACTACATACAATGATTACAATCAAAATACAGTTACAACTACAATTATATAAATGAATATCCATAAAAATAAGCATACCATACAGTAACAGTAACGGCAATGAAATATGTAATGTCATGAACTCATGCACTCACATTTCATCATGGCCTTCACTTCGTTTCACTTCACTACAATTATACACCCTTCACATCCTCACCACGATTCACTTCACTTCACTTCACTGTATTTTTGGATGATTTCCCCCCAACACCTTCATTTCGCCTTATTTATCATTTTCCTAATCCCTTTCATAAAAATACCCAGTCTCAATCCGGGAATTCATCACCAGGCCGGGAATAAATCCCGAGTTTTCCCTTTTGTAGCCAGTCAC